CTCTATTTGAAAAGTGTTCTGAGATAACTTCTGTTATGAATTGGCGCTATACAAATAAAATTGAATTGAATTGAATTGAATTGTATAAAGTCATTGTGTATTTTCGGGCTAAAATCTTAAAATAAACAAGTCAAGCAGAAACTATACGAACACGTAGACAGATTTATTTATTTTTTTACCCAGGATGGCGAAGTCATGGCGAGCCCTTCTCTGGCTCTGATTGGCTAGTTCTCCTTGTTGGTTTAGGCATGAAGAGTAGGATTGGGTAGGTTAGTAGGTCATGACTTCGCCATCCTGGGATAGAAGATGTGTTTATGAACAAACAAACACAGGAAGTAAAAACAAACCCATTGCTTCTTTATTAGTTAGTCATTTTACAGTAGTCACTCATACGTAGCTGCCTTGAGTTGGTCTTTTTGTGTCACTTTTTACTTTTTGTTCCAACTTCTTCCTCATTTTTTTTTTCATCAACACAGCGGAAGAGTCGTGGACAAAGTATAAAAAAACAACAAAAAGCAAACAGAACAAAAAAAACAAAAGAAACAGGATAAAATGCCCCTTTTCACAACAAAAACTACATTTGGCAAAAGGTGAGGATGAAGGTGATGAAGATGATGATCCAGTGCATCTTTAAAACATCCAGAGACTTTTTTTTTACTAAGATAGAGAAGAGAGAGAAGATGTCTGGGCGTCTGATTGGATAAGAGCTTTCAGGAGTCGGGGATTATCGTCCAATCAGATTTGATCTCCTCACCTGTCGCTAGGCGAAGTCTGAAGCTGTGATATGCATCGTTGATGGCGAGGCGTCGGTCCCGCGTTACAGTCACAGTAAAAAACAACTAAATCACAACTGAATACAAAAAATAAAATATAAAACTGACCCACAGCGAGACGTTGATCTGGCGAGTTTATGGCACGAGGCGTCCGTCATGGCGATTTCACTACTAATACTTTTTATTTCCCGGACTACGGCGGGTCTGAATGATGCGTTACCTCCGCTGCACCACAACCTGAATCAATAACAAGAATTATTGATTATTTATTATCGAGTTGATTAAATTTACAACAAAAAAGTAAACGTTGAATAAACTGAACAATTAATCGACTTTAGCTCCGATAGGATTCGTCTTTACCTGATAACCTGCGTTACTTCTTCTCTAAGATAATGAGCTAACAAGGTAGCAAAGCAGGAAACATGGCGTCACAATGGAGGTTTTCCCGCTCATTTTCCAGACAGAATTTAAGTTTTGTTTTAATTATTTGTTAAACAATAAAAGCAGCAAACTAATATCCAACTGGGACGCTAACATTGTACCATGAAGCTAAGAGCCATTGTTACTAATGCGCTCACATGTTAGCTCATTAAAAGGTAAAACTTCAGCTAATTAATAAAATAAAACACTTATGGTGGTTTCTGTTTTACGTGCAGCGAAGGAAACGCGACTCAACTTGAAACTGACCAGCTAGCTAACGTGGAACACGCTAACCAACACGCTAGCCAGTACAAGGCGACCCCGACAAAACTAACAATCTTTTCATCGTTATGGTAACTGCAGTCCGTCGTTTGTTGGCTGTTTGTCGCGATTATCTGAAACTCAACGATATGAAATATAATGTAAATAATATGTCCCCCCCCCCCCCTCAGTGCCACTGCCTCACATGATAGACAGCCAGTTCACACATAAAGAAACAAACATCAGACGTGGATCTGATCCGGGATCAGAAACATCCGGGCGTCATTTATGAAAACGTTTCTGACCTTAAAACCAGCAACTTGCATTGATTTCTTGCTTTTATGCGACACATCAAAAGCCAAAACTTTGCTTTAACGATGGTCCTGACGGGAAATTCAGAATGACCGATTTTTCATAAGCGAGGCCCCTGAAGAAACTACAGAAGCCCAATTCAGCCAAAACAATGAAAAACAACAGAAGTCAGAGTCGAGGCTCTTAGATAAATCAGAATTATAAAAGTACTATCAGGTTCTCAAAGACTATAAAAGAAAATCAAGACGAGATAAATCAGGATAATAAATCTGAATTATTCCTCACTATGTTGTTTTTCCTTTTCCTGTCAGAAATGAGCTTCCGTAGACAAACAGATCGATCAATGCAGCAACAACAGGCAGAAATGTTCATAATGTAGAAAACAAACAGAAACACATCCCGAGTGTGACAGACAGAAAGCAGGAATGTGTGTTCGGACCGGATGGGAACGTCGCTGCGGCACAAAAATAAATTAAAACCTGATTTAAAAAAGAAAAGAAAAAACTCCTGAGAAAAACACGATCAATCACTTCCCAACAGAATCTGATCAGAGGCGACGAACACAGGATGGAAAACAAAGAGGGGAAGATGAATGATTGAGGCGAACGTTGAAGACACTGAGGCTCAGACACACAGACACACACACA